TGCAGTATAGGTACCATTATGATCCCTGAGAAGGTCATTCTCTTGCCAAAGGATACAGTACACAATAGGAAAAGCACAGGGTCAACAATATTGGACACAAAACCTTGCCAAAACATCAGCAAAACACTTATCAATGATTATGACTATTGGCTTATCAGCACCACCGACGTCTTATCAAGATAGGCATCCTCCCAAGAATCTGGTATTTGTGGATAAACAGGAAATTTCTTTTCTAAGGCCACATTTAGCTTACAGAATTGCTGCATTGTTGCTCCTTGAAAGGCAAATGCAGACAAAGTAAGTTAAATAAAGCTATAATCACTCTGCTGCCTGACATATGAGATTATTAGAGGCCACCAGGCAGAACTGGCAGAAGATATGGGCTGGCTCAAAATGATTTGAGCAAAATAAAGTCTTCAAGGACACTGGCAAAGCCCAACTGAAGTCAGCACAGGAAGAATTTGTCCCTTCTGCTGCTGTTGAGGGTGTAGCTCAGCACTTTAGCATGGCTAAAGCAGAGAGGCAAGAGTGGTTTTAACTCTGAGCTTTCACAGCATGACAAGCCTGCAAGGAGGTGTGTGACCATCCACACACGGAGCCAGCGTTATGTTACAGATGGAGCCCGTATCCTTCACAGCATCATATCCCACACAGCAGGGAACAAGGGGAGGCTGAATGGCAACAACTGATTTTGTTTCCACATTTCCCTTCCTCTAAACTCAGAGTAATAGATAAAATAGTCTTGCTCCTACAAATCATGTTCAAACTGCGGCTGTCAGGAAATGAAGGTGGTTGAAGGGGGGCTGTAAAAGGTTGTTCATTAATTCTGTCTTCTTTATGAGCTTCTTCAGTCCCAAAGACAGATGGATTCGGAAGTGCAGCAGAACAGAGGACTTGCGTTCAAAGAAAGGCCTGCAAGGAATTCCTCCCCCATCCCTTCAGATTATGGGGTTAATTAATAACAGTTAATTAATGATGTGTCAATCATCGTGAAACCTATGCCTGTGTGAGAAAAACTGCCCCTCAGGCCAAGAAGCATTAAGGCCTTCTCTGGAGTTATGTTTTAAAGAAAGCTCTTGTGACAATTTCTGTGAAGCCTTTTTTAACCCTTTTATCTCAGGATTCACTTTTGGCAAGAGCCAGGCTCTCATTGAAAAGCCACCTAGCAGAGGTAGTAAAAAAAGAATTGCTGTGCTGTTGCCTTCAAGGTGTGTCTCTGGAGGACACAGGAAAGTGCTGGGAACTGGCTGATCCCAATGGAATGAGGAACTTGGGCTGAAAGCAGCTCAGAAACTAGCTTGTCCTCAGCGATGGAGTAGCAGCAACCAGAGGGAAAATGTGGGGGTACCATCTCTGCTGTGAAACATCCCATACCCAAACCAGACACCCCATTGCTGTACCCAGTCTTTCCATGATAACTTCAGGAGGGACAGGCATTTGGACACAAGCACTGATGAGCTCTGCTCTTGCTCCTCTGTCAGATGAACATCCCAGGCTCTTGGCAGCCAGGACATTCATGCCCATCTGCTTGCATGGCACGGTGCCTGCTCACAAGTTGTCAGACAATTTCACGGGTTTCAGAAGAGCCTGGACTTGAATAGGTGGCCTGGATATGCTGCAAAACCCATCTCTTCTACATGGCCGTGCAGACTGCTAACAGAGCAGGACCTAGCTATACCTCATGCCTCCTGGAGCCATGGACTTACTTCAACTGGCACTGCCCCGTGGTACCGCAGCACCAAAAAGGAGGCTTCATTGATGCTTCAGGTGAAGCATTAGTGCCCTGAGTGCTACAGAAGCTCATAAAAAGCAGCTTCTGTACCAAAATATCCAGTGCACACCAAGATAACTTCAAGGTACCGTGATACAATCAGCAGCACAAAAGCTTGACTCCAAAGCAAAGGCATGAGAGGATCAGAAACCCCGTGGCTCCCTGTGGGCAGTGACAAGTAGGTCAGGCAAAGCAAAAAAGGGCATGTTTTGGGCTAAATTCCCAGTTACCCAGCTCTTGTACCCAGGGTCAGAAGGCTGCAGAAAAAGATGGTTTCAACTTGGAGCTGGCTCTGGGAATAGGAAAATTAAGCAGGCAATGGTGACCCCAGGCTGTCCCTCTCTTTGTGTACCCTGTTTTGCTGGTGTCAGAGCCCTGAGATGTCAAGTTGGCTGCTACTGTGAATGGTGGGAAACCTGGAGGCTTGTGGTGGCACTGGGTCCATGCTGAAGGGGACAGATGCTGTCCCTGCTTTGCACAGGGCTGGCATAAACCCTCCTTACTGCACCCTGTCCTTCTGCTGGCAGCCATCCCCAGCCCCACATTTCAATCTTATGGAGAAAAGCAGGATTATGCTTTAAGTTGTCTCTGCCATCTTCAGCCCCAGGAGGCAGAGCTGCTGATCGAATCACAGCATCGCTCTCCCCTCCTCCTGGCTGAGGCTCACTCAGGGCCCTGACACAAAACCTGGGCTTATGACATGAAAGGCTGAAAAACCTCTGGGGTGTATGCCCCAGGAATCAGATTTTCTGCTTAATAAACCCCTAAAGAATCAGATGCAAAAGAGGTTGGCATGAAAATTTTGGATGGATTATGATACTGCGGTGATTCAAACAAGCACAAAAGAGATGGAAACGCAAATACGCTGGGTCAAAATCTTCCGTTTCAAGAAGTAGAATCAAAATACAAGCCAGTCGTACTGAAAACCAAAGGAAATACACCAGTCATTGCTAGATTTCCCCCTAAATCTACAGATTAATTTAATATCTTCATTTATTTTGATGCTTCATGCCAGCTAATCAAAGTAGTTTAAAATCCATACACAGACTGTGTACATCTGAAGTCTGTATGCAATATTTCTGCTGTTGCAGGTCTCCATGTACAGCCATGGCGTTACTCTCTGGCTGGTTGACCACCCCTACATGAAGAATTTGGACCCCCAATTAGCAAGGTTTACAAAAGGAGCTTGAAGTGCTAACAGGATCAGTTGGATTCTGCTGCTGAGAACAGTATCTGGCTTACATGCTGGCTTGGGGTGTTTTATTATCCACAGCGCATAATCCAGCACTTTAAACTGCTTCTATTTACAACAGCTTTGCTGTCCCCCCCCCTACTCTCCAGCTCCCACACATTTGCAGATGCTATTTACTCTGGGTTTCTGCTACTTCTTCACATGCAAATGTGAAGCCTTCCAGGCTTTCTCACTTGTATTTACCCACATGCAGGAGAGTGGAAAAATGTTAACAAGAAAGGTACTAACACTATTGAGCCAGACACTGCAAATGAAGAAATAAAAAGCCAGAGATACCCAATGTGTCCTACAGCCATATTATTAACAGGTATTATGCCTATTTCAAACCTGCATTTTTGTTTGTTTACAGTAGTGAGTCACCAATAGCACTGTGCCAAGAGCACAATTTGGACGTGTGCTGTGTGCACTCTTAAGCCTCTCAGCTTTGTCAAAACCTTCCTGTCTCAACCTGCAAGATGCTCTTACTTCGGTTGTGAGTTTCTCCCAAACGCCACCCTGCTTTCACATCATCACTGACCATGGGGCTGTGTTGCCTGAACCAGTGACCTCCAGCAGAGCTGGACGTGGGTCCTAGCTATTTCATCAGATCCATTTTAGTGCTGCTTATCTCCTGCCCTTTCCAACTGCCAGCTGCCCTAACTCAAGAAACCTGCAGAAATGTTGAGAGCTCTTGTAACAAGAGAACAAGCTTCAAACAAATCTCAGCGCAAGTGGCCAAATCCCCATCTGCCTCCTCCAAAGCGGTGGGGATCCCCAGAGCTATCCCTGCGTCAGATAAGACCAGGAGCAGAGAGGGAGCAATTTAGCTCCATAAAACATCTAAAAATAACTGCTTCCAAGGGGGAATATGAGCACAGCACAACTCGTCTCCAGGATAAAGCCATACGTGCTGCTCCAGAGAGAAAACAGCTTCAGCCTCTGGTTTACGCCACGAGTCTTGCACAAATCATTTCCCCTCCCTGAATCTCAGTCTCTTGAGCCTAGTTTAAGGATTATAAATTTTAGAGAAATGGAGGCAAATTGCCATGAAATATTTCAGGGTAGTGTTGTCTGCATATCCCACTGAAAACATTTTGGGCACATTTTTTTGGTTAGATTTACTAAGGACATCTAACCTCACTGCTACACCGAGTCCCCCACGTACCAAGCCCTGTTACTTAGCAGTAAATTACAGGTTATGCATTTCAGGCCAGCTCTTCCCTTGATAACATTTGCTGCTTTTCTGCACTGCCAATGCAGGGTAAAATGTTTTAAATAAGAAACTGAGGAACTGAAAGTGGATCTCTTGAGTAAAAGATAAAGCCATAGGACTGCATTTCTTGGTACGCAGACAATTAAAATGAAGAAGTAGCTTGATTAAAATCAGACACTGAAGATGCTTCTTTCCTAACACATTGCGGTAACATGTAAAAAAACCTGTTAGCTGCTGCAATAACTAGTTTAAAGAAAAAAGAATAAGCACCAGCATGTCTTTGTTCCTAAAGACTAATTAGCAAGAGTCTATAAGCACTTAGATAAAAGGCAGCTAATCAAGCAGAGACACTTCACTACTGTAAAATACAACTGTCCACTCAGCTCTCCCTTAAAATGGTGATAAGGGGCAGGTACAGTCAGTATCTGGCCACTTGTGTCTGTGTAAGACAAGAACAAAAGCAGATATTGAGCATTGCGTTGTCATCTGCTGGAGACACCCCAAATCAGTTGAAAACAAATGCAAGGCTTGAATTATTTTTGCAAAAGGCCCACTCACAGAGACTGTGGGGCTGATGTTTCTGTAAGCTGCAGAGTGAAGACTTCTGTCAGGAGCTGAAGATGCCATGGAGGAGTCAGGGGAGAAGGACTTTAGGGAGAATCCACCAGCAGTGGTGGATAGCAGCTTCCCAGTGACAGGAAGTGGGATGGAGCTGAACCCCATGGACATGGTGATATCCAGCAAAACAGCTCAGGTTTCCCAAAAGAAGGTCTGCTCCCTCCCACCTCTGGGACTCATTTTGTTCCATCCTGGCTCCAAGCAGTTCCTTTAGAGCTCCAGGGATAACCCAGGCCTGAGACTGCACAACTGAGCTGGTACTAAAAGAGAGGGAGGTTTGTTTTGCCCGTCCTGGCTGCTAGCATGATGAAACACTGCTACCACAGATCCCTACAAATCCTAATCGGAATGGACAACCTTTGAGCTACCTGGACTTTGCAGACTTTGACTCTCAGGTCATTTCATAAACATGCTCCCAGAATTTGAGAACAAATTGCTCCTGGGCTGGATGGGATTGATCAGTATTTTAGGCAGCAGTTGCTGAGCTGTTGCAAAGGAAAACGCAGTGCACAGTGACAGACAGACTGGATTTCATTGCTGTCCAGAGCCATCAGTCAGCCTCAATCCTGATCCAGCTCTCCTTGAAGTCACTGCAAATTTTCCAATCTGCATAAATGAGATTTGGACCAGAGGCACTGCTGACTCTTAAAACACAATTGACATTGAAATACTGAAGAAGACTGATGTGATGAACAGGATTAGTTGCAAGAGAAACACAGTTCATGCATAATATACCAAAAATTAAAGAGCTAAAATACTACATGGCAACCTCTACTGTCCTTATTTAGGAGCACATTCAGGTCTCATGTACTTTAAATATCAAGTGATATAATTCGTCCAGTTTACTCCAGACTTATTCCTGATGTAAGTACAATCAAATCTGCCATCAGTCTCACTCAGGTAAACATTTCAGCAGGGATTTGGTAGGTAAGGATTTGAATGCCCTTAAAAAACCCAAATTCTCAGGGATGAGGTCCACAGAATATCTGATTACTGGTGGTTATTTCCAGCAGCAAAAAAACCCTATCTCTTCTTCATGATGTAATGAGACAGCACTCCTTGCAATTTTAAAATAACTGAATGCTGGGATTAGCAGCTTTAACCTTTCCTACCAGTTTATTCATAGAATCAGAGAATCAGAGAATAGTTGGGGTTGGAAAGGACCTTAAGATCATCTCGTTCTAATCCCCTGCCATGGGCAGGGATGCCTCACCCTAGATCATGTCACCCAAGACTCTATTCAACCTGCCCTTGAACACTGCCAGGAATGGAGCATTTACCACTTCTTTGTGCAATCTGTGCCAATGCATCACCACCCTCACAGTAAAGAACTTCTTCCTTATATCAACCTGAACTTCCCCTGTTTAAGTTTTAACCCATTACCCCTTGTCCTATCACTACAGTCCCTAATGAAGAGTCCCTCTCCAGCATCCTTGTTAGGTCCCCTTCAGATACTGGAAGGTTGCTATGAGGTTTCAACATTAGGTCTCCAGTAACACACCTTGCACATAACCAGTGTTCTCCAGTGACTGGTACAGTAACATGGATTAAGCCAAGTGACAAAACATAGCGGCTGGGTTTGTACTTTGACCAGCCACTACTCAGTAACGTCTTGCATGGCACATTGCAGCATGCTGAAGTGTTAATCCTGGAAGGCTTCTAGTATAGCAGCTACTGGATGCATATCACTTCTCTAGCTGCTCAGAGAAAACATTGCAATTTGATTTAATTGCTATGTTGACTTATAACAGTGTGTTTATACTGGATGCCTGCCAGCTGAAATGCAACAGGTTTGAAAAAATGTATTTCCTCAAAACAGCATGATATGCAATGTAATAAGGAAAGCAATCTTCCAGTGGCCCTGATTCTGAAGTTCATTTCAACTCCTCTGATTTGGAAGCTTTGGTACCAATTCAGAAGAATTACATCAACCTAATTGATATGATAATCAGGCCTGGAGGCTGCATTTCACAGGTACAACAGTCACACTGCAGCTTTGGAAAGGGAATATAACTGTAGGAAATGAAAGCGATTAACAGTTGTTTGTATAACAGGGATTGTTTGGCCTATTTAATGTCCCAATCAAAAAATGCATTATTTGTTGAGCAATCCTGAAAGGAAATCAAAGAGAAACTCAAAGAATATTGCTAATCTTTGTCACTATGACATTTAAAAGCCAATAAAGAGCTGTGCTTTGCCAATGCAAACAAAAATATTATCTTCCCCATGACCTTGACTGCTAGATTTCAGCCCAGCCAACAGCACCTTTGCCTTCAGCCAACAGATATGCTACAGGAATGTTACAGAAGCTCAATGGTGAGTTCGCTTGGTTTACTTCTGTAGAGCACTAGCTTTCCACTAGACCATGACTACCAGCTTATTAAGTGGCTGGCACTGGGGTTTCTTGGGATGATCGGCTGTGATTCAAGGAGGCTAGATTTCATGACCCCAGAAGTCTCTTCTGTCCTGATACTGCCCTGCTGCTAATTAAGAGCACAAACTTCAGCTACTGAAAGAAACAGCCATGTGGCTTTTAGCAATCCTGCAGTGTGACTTGTAAAAGCAGAAGAAAAGAAAAGCAATGTTAAAAATACCAAGCAAAATCTAAAGCTGGAACAGAACTGGCTTTTACCTGTTTCAGTCCAAAGTGAGTTCACTGGATACAGTATTATTTCTTTGAATTGAACAAATAAACCTCAATACCCTTTCTACACATTTCTACAAGGCAGTCTATAAAACTGGGAATGAGAGGTGTCATTCTTAAACACAGGCCATAGGACACTTTTCTCACAACCCCAATAGCAAGGTATCATTTTCTATTTGATCCTATTTGGCTTTTCCATAAGGAACTGTGAAAACCTCTCAAAATCCTGGCACCAGCATATACAAAAGGAATTCTAACACTGACTCTGCTGGAGCAGTTTGTCCCTTCAAGAATAAAGCTTGGGAGTTAAAAAACAGTGTGTTGGTTTTGTTGCTGAGCCAGCTGTCTAACTCCACCAGCTAGCAGAAACAAAGGGAAACCAAATAAAACTATAAAGCACATGTTCCTCTTAGACAAATAAGCCAAAACCCTTTGGAATTTATGGCTCTACTCTATCCCTACCTGATAAATCATATACAAAGCTGCAGCTGCAGATATCAGTGATCATGTAAATAAATTTTATTATGCTGTACAATATTAGTACAGTTAGACAGACTAATCATGGGAGAAGGGGAGGTTGCTATTTTTTTCCTGTCCCATATGGCAATAATTTTGTATGATTGAACTGTTATGAGCTAAATAAAACTACACATTAACTATAAGATACATTGCAAGTACATTAAATCTTCCCTGGAGTTTTAGCAAATACACGCTTTTCCTATGATGCATTTGGAATTAGCAAAGGAATCTATGCAGGGCCATAGGCTTTATAAATAGATTTGGCTTCCTCTGCAATACTTTCTGGGCAATTATTTCAGAAATGAAGATGCAGAGCCACGAATAAATAAAATAATTGCAGCTGATCAGGCTTTATTTACCACTATCACATTTCCCTGACTGTTAAGTATCCCTCCTCTCGTTTACTCCACTAGCCTGAATCAATGACCAGATGAGGAGTTGTCAGTTAATGTCAAACACTGAGCACAAAATATGCCAAAGGCAGATTCTGGTTTCCCCATTCCCAAATCCTGCCTGGGCCTTTGTGGAGCTGGCTTACTTCCTGGATAAATTCAGTGTGGAACTGGGAGGCTGGAAAGGGCAGAGCAAGTAAGATGAGTTCTGCAGGGTTTCAAGCTATTTGCCAGGGAGCGCATTTTGCTGTGACTGCCCTGCAGAAGTCACTGCCAAAGGTATGGAAACCTGCCCTTCCACTAGCAGATGCCCAGCTGTATCAGGAAAGGGTTTTCATTGTCTCCCCTATCTGCCACAATCCTGTTCAAACTGGTATTAACTCAGTTTGGAAGATGCTGAGTACCGTTATCTATAGCAAAACCAGCTTTCCAGGTAGTGCAAATTAATCACAACCAAGCAGAGACTGGCCTCATGTCTATGCATTATTCTACATGTACCTCACATCATTCAGCTTTCAGAATTTCACATCCCAGATGGGAGGGAATCTCCCGATTACCAGTCTTCCTTGGGATCAGGCCTGAAATCCTACTGATGCCAACAATATTTGCTAAAAACAACAGTGGCTCAGTTTAACAGACGCAACTCTTATTGCTCCCTCCAGCACTACGAGATAAACTGAGGCCCCACTTTTTATTTGCAGATGGACACTCAATACTATTTAATGGTTGCATTATCTGGGGTTCATGAAGAAGGGTGCTTTTATGATGAGGTTTATCATCTCGGGAGGAAAAAAAGCATTATTTCTGCTGCTTTGAAAAGCCACGGAGCTGATAACACAGTAACACATATGGAATACACAGGATACATCAAATGGAAACATCCTGACTATCCACCAAAAGCTACCTTCAGCAAGCTGACCTCAGGAGCAGCTGCCAGCATTGTATTTTATGGTCCTCAAGCTAAGCTATATAGAAAAAAATGCCCTTTACGCTGCCAGAGATGGCTGTCCCTGCTCTGTGAGCTCCCGATAGTCCCCTGTCCTGGGAAGGCACACCCAGCTTTATGAAGCCTGGATCAGAAGGATACCCTGCAGTAAAGAGGGTGCACCAGAAACAGCCTGGAAGGTATCTAGGGACTGAAGAAGGTCTTATAATAAGATGTCTCATAGCTTTAAAATCTGATTTTATTTTTTATTGTATTTCTAGGCTGTTTATGTCTGTAGAAAGAAATGATGCTGCAAACCTCTCGAAGGACTTCATCAACAACAGTCCATAAGCTGGTGAAAGAGGCCAATGGGAGCATATGCCAAAGGACCTAGAAAGATTTATGCTAGCAAAGCATCTGTCTCCTTGTTCACTGTTATTAGAATGAAGACAAGTGCTTGCAAACATCCTTATTCAAAATCACTAATGTGTTCAGGGATGCTCTGCACAAATGCAGCACCATTGCTACTGTAAGGTGTGGTGACTGGGAACACAGATGCTGAGTGTACTAATGCTGCTTTTTCCAGTGGTATATCTAATGCAAACAGCAGTGAGAAAACAGGGCATTGCTGCCCTTCAAATCAACCAAAGGGAATGATTAAGACATCACCAATTTCTGTTATTGTTCTAGTGGATGTTAGTAACTGCTTCTACTCAGGAACATAGCTGTGCCTCTGTCATCATCCATCATCTGCTGAGGCTGTGTATAGTGCAGCAGAAACGGTAAACTTTTTATTTGACCTCATTAGCATTCCCAGAATTACAGTGTCATACCAATGATAAAGACTGAGGTTATCTATATCTGAGCAAAGGGAGAAGAAACGAATCACGCACTATGTAAAAAGCCAACAGCACAACCACAGTTCTGCTGAATACTTAAAGGCTGCTTTAATCCACCTGGTTCTTGATTCTGCATGTGGGATAAGACACAATTAAGAACTGTGCCTATACACAACAAACTCGCAGACATAGGGGATGGACCCATTCATTGGTGATCTGATGATCTCAGCATTCGAGGAGAGGGCAGAGAGAGGAAGGGAAGATGTTGGAGTAGGTGCTCTGACACCTCCTTCCTGACTCATCAGTATTATCTGTGCTTCCTCTGACCTCTCCCAGGTAATCACCGATCCACTAGAAACATGGAGAAATTTGTGTGCAATTTGGGAAATAGCACAAAGGCATTTGGCCTTTACAAAAATGTCTTGTGATGCCTGGAAGTTCATGGGATTTCCTCGCTATTCCCAGGATGAATGCACTTAGGGAGGGGTCCCGCTCAAACTTGGGTTGAAGGAAAGCGAGACCAATTCTTTGGCTGTTCTGGCAGTCAAATCAGATCAAGTCAAATCTGTATTTGTCTGAGGTCAGTCTATAGCAAAATCTATACTGAAACAGGGAATTTCTCAGTCTCCAGCCAGCAGCTGTATCCCCTCTATGGCTATAACACAGTCCCAACACATATTCCAAACCACTCGTTCTCAGTTACTTTAGTCTTTCATGGACCATCTTAGAGGAAATTAACTGAACTTCCCTACAGTGGGAACAAAGGAAGGAAATTAATTTATTATTCCAGTGGTACCCTCGACACAGATACTGAGTAGCTTCATTAAACATTTTGCAGCCCCAAGTGCCTTTGCTAAACCCTCTACAATAAGCTGAGAGTCATTTTCCTTATTACAACACAAACACACAGGTCAGGATTCAGAACTCATTTACATCTGCTTTGTATCTCAATAACTTCTCTCATCTCAATGGGATCTGGGCAGGCACAAATCAAGGCTGTATCATCCTACTCCTTCCCTTTCTTTCTAGATTCATTACCTTGCAGTACCACTCTCAGATAAACTCATTTTCAGAGAGTCAGCAGAGCCACAGCCAAACGACTAATACAGTCCTTTAATACAAACAACAATAAATCAACGGATTAAACTATAATTTATCAGACAAATACTATTTAGCTCTCTCAAAGCTGCTCTGAACCATCTCTCTCATCTGGCCATATTCCAGAGGAGCACTGACACTAGATAAAGCTCAGATCTGCAGAGTAAGTTTATATAAAATAGAAATGCTGAAAACATCCTGTATTTATGATGGGAGATTTGACAGAGATCAGAGTGAGTAACATTCCTGAGAAGACTGTAATGTATCTGAAGCTTTCTCAGTATCTCTTCCAAAGACCAGTCTAGCAGGGCAAGGTTTCAATAGACCCTGAAGCTCTGCACTTAGCATCAAGCCTAGGGAACTCAACACATTAATCTCCAGAGATACTACAGCAAACTTTTAACGACTTAGAAAATAGCAACAGACTATCCCAACACCATTTCACTTTACAACATAGACTTTTTTTACTTACTTCATCGGTTTGAACAATGCTTGTCCATAGTTCTGGAACGTCATGATCAGCTTCAGCTGGGTGCCTCCTGATTTCATTGCTGTGGGAAAAAAACAAAACCCCTTTAAAATGCTACATGTGGATCTACTTACATTCAGCTTCCTTGAAACAAAATCATGTCTCTTTTTCTCTGTATTAGATTCAGCACTGCAGTATCTGAGCACCAAGCAGAGTAATCCTAACTGGGGAACAGATTATTCAGCAGGGGCAGAGTACAGGGGAGGGCTTTGAGCTGCCAAACAGGACTAAAAATGGATTGTACTTCCCAACATTTCTTTGTCTTCTTCAGTTGGCCACTACGGGCTCTGTAAGAACCTTAACTGAACAGCACGTATAGGAACAGCCATTGGAGTCTTGTTTTCTCCATGTTCAGTCGCTTTTGGAATTCCTTTTAAAAAGGGATTCGCATTGGGAAAGGAGATAGGGTGCTACTGAAGACAACTGCAGCTGGGATGTACAGTCCAATGCTCAGCAGACATCTCCTTAATTAACAGTATGAGCAGATACTACAGCAATCTCTGATCTCTGCTGCGATTTTAATAACTGCTGCTGAGCAGTAGAGATGTGTAAATTCATCTCCTCTATGCACAGTGGATACGTATCCAAGCCCATCCAGTAGCTTCAAGGGATCCCAAGGTAGTTCATACATGAAAGCTGAGCTGTGCAGAGTGGGTTGCTGGCTCTGCTGGGAGGGTAGGACAGGACATGTGGAGGCAGCAAGGACTGAGGTCCACACTGCACACCAAGGGCCATCTTTGCTCAAACATTAAATACGCTCACTTCCCAGCTGACAGCTAATGGGAATTTAAGACTGACATTTATTCAAATCAGTTTGAACTATTTGGACAGTATCATGTTAACAGACAGATCATGGTGTTTCTAAAGTCAGAGAGAAGTTTTTTTTATGTAAGAACTCATAAAAATGCATCTTACTTAATTATAAGGCTACTTAAAAAAGATAAATATATACTTTGGCAAACTAGCTGCTTTTCTACTCAATCAAAACTGCTCTGAATAAATGAAATGACCTATACCCTGTCTCCTTTACTCACTTCTGTGTTCAGATAGGCAGGCCATGGCAGTTCTGTCTGTGTGGATGAGTTAGTCCTTTAAAAATGTTTCCTCAGAAAGATCACATAATTAAGCCCTTTCTTTACAGTTCTGACAAAACCCATGTCAACTGGAGAATAACAAATGTTAAGTTACCTTGCTCTGCAAGTTTTACCTTAAAGCTGCCCTTGTTGCACCTATATAGCTTGTACATTTTTGTCTCTAACCAATGTTATTAGCTGCACATCCTTTTAATTACTCATCTCTGTGCTTTATTACTGATAGGTCATCAGCTCCCTTTCAGCACTTGTAATCTATATTTTTGCAAGAAAATGCTATGCAAATCTGGTGAGTGTAATTATACTTTTCCTAGAATAAAAACCCTCCTGCCTTGCTGTTTTGCTGATCCCAGCCTTCTCTTGCATTTCCACTTTATCCCAAAGGAACAAATAAATAATTAGAAATTAAAGGGCATTAAATAGTTTGCACTGAACAGGTAAAGCAGAACATGGCTTTCACATATTAAACTCCCTCTCTTGTGAGGAGCAGGTCAGTTGATATGCACCTGAGGGAAGAAGGAGCATAGGCCTTCAGCAATCTTCCCCCCACAAATCTACATGTGGACCATCACAGCCCAGCTATGCACGCTGGAAACACTCCTGGTTAGTCTGGAGAGCAACCAAGGAGCTGGAGCTGCCCTTGCCTCATGCCTGCAGGGACACATGGTCCTGCCTAGGAGATCCCCCACCACCTTCCTGGCCCAGCCTCTGCCGAAGATACAACTTGCCCAACTCTTTTAAGGCACAACCATGCACTGCTGTTTGCATGGGCTATCTCCAAATAGGTCAGTAATATCAGCCTCAGAAACAAAGGGCAGAATTGCCTCCTGTCTGTCAGATATAACTCGCTCCATCCCATCGATCTCAACACAGCTGCTTGTAGACTGCTCACACCAACTGAAGTCTTTTTTTTTTCTAAAAATGACGCCATTTATCTTTTTCACTCAATTTTGAGGAGCTCAGGGCTTGGAGATTGGCTCCATCTCCTCTGAGAGACATGTATGTCCAAAACACACCAAAGATCCTGTAAGCCCGTGAGAGAAAAGGCAAAGATAGAGCCTATTTTGGGGTATGCCTGTGAAGCCAAGCTTTTGGGAAATCACAGCAATGCCAAGAAGAAAGGATGTTCCAGCATGCCCTTTCATAAGCACAAAGTTTCAGATACACTAAGAGACTTGTTTCTCAGAAAATTGAAGCCACTCAACAGATGATTTTATTAGCAGACGAACTCAACCACCAGTGTGTCATCACCAAGCAGGGAAATGTATGAGGATTAACAATTCAGAATAATTCTTCACAAAGGCCTGGTTTCCCGACAGAAGGAATTATGCTGAAGTAAGACAAAAGCATCTAAAAAGCATGGTCTTTTTAGATCCATCTTACTGTATTATTGCCTTAATTGGTTGCAATAGTAGCCTTGACCAAACACAAGTTTTGCTGGCAAGTTGTCCCTTTGCTGCTGCTAGGACTAAACTTTGGACCTCCCCAAAACAGAGGGTGACATTGGTGGGAATTGTGTTCCATCACGCCTTACGCAGGCATCGTGAGCAACAACCCGTGCCAGAGGTCCATGTTGGCTTCTCCCCATATCAACTGGATTCACATGCAGATATTCCCAGTCTGGCTGCTCATTCAGTGTTGCAGAACTGCTGGCCAGGCTGGAGATGATTCAAAGCCACCCTCCAAGTCCAGACTAGTTACAACCTAGCATTGTAATCCCTGCAATCTCCTCATCTAACCCAGTCCTTTTGAGCTCAACACAACCCTTCATGCACCTCTAAACTAAACTGATTTTGGGAGCTGCCTAAATCTTGGGGATAGAAATGTCAGAAAAGAGCAGATCTCTCATTGAAGATGATTTGCTCAGACCTCTAGGTCAGATTATTTCCCTTGTCCTAACTTAGTGTTACATCTGCATGTTGGCTTCCCTCTCATTTTCTAAGCTGTATTATTTCTTCAGTAACTCCCTTTCCTTCTCAGACCTCAGTTAAACCATTATGGCCAAACAGCAGAAGCCCCGTTGTCTTCCAGGAGCTTATTCCCAAACACTGTTTGCTCACCTAGAGACGCTCTTGTGCCTTCACCTACTGCCCACAGGAACACTTCTGAAGAATTCCTAAAACCCAGAAGCAGCATATACGATTCTCCAAGAAATGCCACATCTATGTGGCAGGCTGAGGTATTTTTAAGGAGGCCTTGCAATGTGGAGCTGCACTGACTCCAAGGGAGCCGCTAGTCACACTCTGAATTCACTTTATTTTAAGGTTTCTGAATACACTTTAACATCACAGGTCATGAACAGCTCTGTAAAAGACTTTATAAACCTAGTGGCTCACAGCAGGTACCTCAAATCAAGCCTCATACAGCTCCTGGAAATACTGGCAGAGTGTTAAAAACAAATCCCAATACCATCACTGCTTTTTATCTTCAGGTTATCTCAAGTCTCTCTCTTTTGCCCCTAAGGTAGAAGGAAATGGAAAGCAGGGATGTGACCCAAAAGGATCTGGAATTTAAACTGATCTGGCAATCGAGCTCCAGCTTTGCTTCATGATAGCCCTCATCCTACTGGCTTGTCCAGACCTTATGGTTTTCTGATGGAAAGCAAGAGTCCCAACAGGACCTCTGACACTGGTCAGGATCCACAAACTTCTTAAAATGTATTTAATTATGCTACGCTAATGCCTGAGAAGTGAGATCCAGTTGAAGCCTGGGTTGCAGTTAACATCTGAAACAGAGGACATACAGATTCATTTTGGATTCCTATTTATAGGCCAAGCTTAAATTTAATATAAATGTGCTGGTTGGCTTTAAAATGTAATACTCTGCCCCCGGCTAGAGACATGGCCCTGTACACACTGTAAAGAACATATTTCAGAACAAATTCAGTCCATCATCTCTTAATTTGTTCTTGTTGAGCCAATTCTTCTAACTTGTTTTTAAAGGCCTTTCTTGGTTTAGTCGAGACAGTAAAAGACTTGTAGAGGGGAAGAGATCTGTGAAATCATTCAGAGGCTTTGTTGTACATGTTAAGTCCCTCCTTTCATCTGGAATTGTACATTAAATCAATCTGTTGACTCTTGGCAGATTCATTGTTTTCTTATACAGTAAATCAATGGTGCTACATTTAGTTATGTTTTTCACATGTTCTCAACAGCATTTTTTCCCTTCCTTTGGCTGAGATTTTAATAATTTCCTTTAGCACCAGAATTTACATTCAATATTAAGCATCTTGTCTTTTTTTTTCTTTTTTTTTTCCCTGACTTGAAGCACAGTCCACCTCAGTTAATTGCAGCATTTATTCACTGTGTGAGTAATCTTGCATGCTTGCTTTCTAATCACTGCTTGTACAAACTGAAGGCATTGCAGGTTCAGAAATTAGCTCGGTCAGGTAATGTTTCCAAACCCTACCAACCAGTGAATTTAAAGAATCAAAAAATAAAACCCAACTAAACACAGGAATTATGAAAACCTATTCTGCTCACAGGCAATCCCACAACACAGCTCCTCTGGACATCAGTACAATCAAGACCAAGACCACACTCTCTCTACAATGCACCATGCCATATTTGTTGTTAAACTGCTGACAGTGCTACCACAATTATGCACAGACGTCTTGTAAATATGCAAGAAAATAGCTAACTATGGTTATTTATGCATGCAATAAACAGTTATGAAAGGCAAAGGAAGTATGTAATTGCCTGTCCATGTGCTTCTTCTGAAAACTGTGTTTCAGTGCTCAATGAAAAACCAGTTCTCTCTAAACTCCTATTTCTGGCAAGAGGAAATTTTCAGTGAATTAAATCAAATTAAGAGCTATCCCTTTTATGCTGAATAAAATGAATTACAAATATATATATTGATGCAGGGCACAGAATACATCCTCAGCTTGAAAGCTCTGGGTAACCCTGTCCTTTTCAAGGCCAGCTGTAGGTGTCACTGTGGGAGCTGAATGTGATGCTCCTTCCCATCCATGGATTTGTTCCATTTAAACTTTAACAAGAAAATGTCACCTTGGCGCTCCCTTCTTTTGGGAATTGCTTCTGTCACCGTATTCATTTTGAAATAACACTGCATGTTACAGAGCTATGTGAGCCGTTCTAATAGATGGCGGAGGACCAATCTGGTCACCACTCTCCTCCATAAATAATGTAAGCTGAGCAGAGAAAAGACAAGGTGGCTAAGAAAGCTGTTTAGCTGCAGATTGGATCTAATTACTATAGGTATCAAGAACTCACACAGCAAATCACCTGATTTTATTAGAGCCAAGGCAAATCTGGACACTGGAAAGAAACTGGATAAAGCAATATCCTACCTCATCTAATACATGTAAGCCTCTATATTTAATTGCCCTGATTGAAAAAAGAAGCCTGAAGATTGGGCATTTATGAAGGCTTCAATTTATTTTATACTTCTAACCTGGCATCTTCGCAGCTGCCTTAAAAACATAAAACCAGCAAAACAATCAAAATTGACTATAAGGAAAAAAAAGACGAATTAAAAGAAATGCAGGAATATGCAAATTCTATAAATGTCCTTTGGTCAAATATATTAGTCTCCATTAATCAGCTTACACACTTTTGAATCCCTGCTGCTGCTCTGCAGTAAAGCTGAAAAGTGGCAAGTATTATTTTAAAACATGTACATTTAAACACCCAAAGAATTTGCCACATAAAAGTTGCTGCACTGTGCAATAAAACCAAACAAAAAAAAAGAAGTATGGTGTACTCACAAAATGTTCTTTCTTGCTTTGAAACCTGACAAAGCTCCTAAATCCCCACAGGGACAAGAAGTAGATGCTACCTACCAGCAAAATTCAGATACTGGCATTCTACGTTGGCAAAAGTCCCCTTTCATTTCCATATACTTGATTTTAGACTGGGATTGATGTGCAGAAATAATTCCCTGTCAGTTCCCACAGTGACCAATACCAATAGCAAATGTGCCTCATGTTTTAGTTTATGGAAATTATACTGAATATATACTGATAGAAACCATGTCTCTGTGCTTTTCTTATGTGCATAAGAGGCCCTATCATGTTCTGAAGAGCCTTCTTCAAACATTAACAGAGATACAATCCCACAGGAAATCACTAAAAGCCAACCATAAATCCTCCTCTGTGGTCCCATAGCCGTTTCTCCCCGCTGATTTGAAAGCTCTATCAAAATCATAATTAATGGAAACCTCATGACACATCTATACGACACATTAGTGAAATCATGGCCCCAGGGAAGCAAATGGCAAAGCTTCCACTTACGTCACCAGGGTCACGACTTCACTCCTATTTTTTTGATAACCATTTTGCTGCTAGGTTAACTGAAGCATACAGAGGTTAAGCAACATGCCCGGAAGCATAAGTGAAGATCAAGTGAAGAGTGAGTACTAAACTATTATTTTTCGTTCCTACCTCCCTTTTTCCGCCACCAGCTTCTATGTCCCTACATAACCTTAGCATCCCACTGCTCTGCAGAAGTGACAGACTTCATGGCTCAAACGCTGCCAAGTGTGCTGCTAACACTGCTCTCATCCTGCATAGACAACACAGCTGAACTTCAAAGTGTTGAAGAGGTAAATAGAGATCTATACTCTTAGCACTCATGCAGTACAAAACACTACTATGGCCAATGCATTTTGTGTAAACCTCAATAGGTGAGCCAGGAGATGGTTTGGCTGAGCATCACCTCTGCCCAGAGCTGGGGACAGGCTGGTCACTGCCTGGGACACTGCTGCTGCCTTCAGGGGATGGGCAAGGGTACAGCCTGCATCTTTTCTTCCTCCATGGATGTGCTTGAAGATCAATGTTAACTCATGTATTACCAAGCACTGGCTCAATCCCCATTCTCACATGTCACTAATATTCCAGAAATCAGTTGGTATTGAGGGAAGAGGTCAAGAAAGGGCTCATGTCAAGGAGAAAATCACCAGTGCCCTTGTTACCCTCCAGCACAGGCCAGAGGAGCATGGGCAAAGTCTGCTGCTACCTACATTGTCACATCTGAGCTACATGGCTTGTCAAGCCTGAGCTCCTTAATGATCACTCCAATCCAGAGTTTTGGGACAGAAAATGCATCACAGGTTAATAATTGAGCCTGTGTTTGTAATCTTTCATAAACTAGGTGTTTATTGACCCTTGAATCCAACATGTGAGATAGCATCTGGGTACCACAAACTGCTCTATTCCAAATCCTGCCCCAGCAGAGCTCAGAGCAGAGCTGTGGGCTGAGTACAGCCACCGGGCAGCTCAATTCATGGAGGTAAAACTCTCCTGTGGCATCCTGTGTTTCACACCTACTCCACCCTGACCAGCTAAATAAGCCCAGTCTTGATGACCCAGGAGCTCCCTTATTCCTGCCCAGCAGCTGCTGTGATTCACACAAAGGAAAATGTAAACCTTAGGGCTGCTCGTGCTATTTTTGCCCAGGCCATTTCCTGCTGAAGCCAGGGGAATTTTTGCCTTGCAGGGTTAAAGACCTGCTGACCTCATCCCGTGGTGCCAACACACCACCAGCACTTTTCCAGAGCTCATGCTATTTCATCCCTCTGAAACAGACTTTGTGGTCAGCACAAGTAACTTCATTTTCTGCACGGCCAACGGAAACCACTGCATGTGCTACAGCTCTCCACCTCTGGAAACCACTGGCTGTGCATTTGTTTAGTGTCCCAGAGCTTTCATTTGGGGTTGAGGTTATTTTTTCCCTGTGCATCTACGCAGCTAAATTCAAGGAAAGACACATTGTCATTAACCAGCCCTGGAGAAAAGCCCCGAACTGTGTCACCTTGTTTAACCAGAGCCAAAGGTTGACATGGGCTCTTCGCTGTTGTGGATCTACAAGCAGAATAAACAGAGCTGAACTCTGCTCAGCGGGGGGCTGGAGCTTCCTGCACGATGCCTGGGGAAGCTGCAGCTCTGCTGAGCCGCAGAGCCCCGCGGTGCTGGATGCTCCTGCAGCCATCGCTGCAGGGCTGCAGGTCAGCTGCCTTGTTCCTTCCTTGGGAAGAGTAGTGCTGCCAGACACAGCCTTTTAAATAATAATCAGCTAATAATACCAGCCTATCTCCTGCAAGATGCTACCTGCTTTTTGCCATCTTTTTTTTTTTTTTTTATGACCCTATTTATTTTAAATAACCAAATTGGGCACTGTCAGTGTGATCGTGTCTAAAATATCTCCGAAATGAATGGGGTCTGCCTCGCTGGCAGACTTTGCGGTTATTCAGGTAATATAGAGATGGCAATATCTCTTTATGTTTAACAGGGAAAATGAGCACAGAAGTCGGGAAGCAATGTTGTAGGCACGCCGGAGAGAAGCCATGCAAAATATTAATATTCAAACAGCAATGAGATCCTGAACAATGAGCAAATAATGGTAAAAAAATTATATATATATATGTATATATGAACGTACCAACACTGGTTATCTTTTGGGAGACCAGGTCTTGCAGTAAAGCCTCAATTGCAGGATTATGTCTGGAATACAACTCGTACCGATTAATGCCAATGTGGAATTTTAACCAGTTTGGGTAGGAGTCTATGGAGGTTTCTCCAGTTGGCAAAAATTCTTCATTATCTTCATTTTGCCTACCACCAAAAAAAAAAAAAAAAGTAAAAATAAAGAACAACATAACAAAAACCCAAAAATGAGGAGAAAGAAATAATGTTACAGTTTGTAACAGGCATCAAGAAACAGGGCTTCAAAATGTGACAACCTGGAAAGGCAAAGCACTACAAGGAGGGTAGAAGCCCCCAGGTTGTTCCTGTGCCGGCAGCACACCAGGAGCCTGTTCCCACCTGGGGCTAAATGGGAGATGGGTTTTCTCTTCCACTCATCATGCCTCATTTAAAGCCCATGAAAGTCACGAGCTAAACTCAGAGTGACATCACTGAGCGTTAGCAGAGGCCCTTATATAGCAGAAACACAGAGCTGCAAGTTTTGTATCATCTTTAGGTTTTATTATGTTGCATGTATCTTTTACAAGTTTGACTCAAAGGACAGCATCACCCTGAACCTTTATTTAACAGGGACCTGGGTCGAAATGGAGAGCGCAGCAGTAACCTGACCTGTTGTACCAAATGCTCCCACTCTCTCCTCTTTTTCTAAATAGAGAGAATGAGAAGAAACTGGATCATTCCAAACTGGTTACTAAAGAATAACTCTGGATGGTTTTGCCCCTTCCCTAGCAGTAGGATACTGTTACAGAAAATGACTGTTAAAATGGCTTTTAACTCCTAAACTTCATGTTAGTTCTGTGAACTTTGGCTGCAGCCACCAAGGAAAATATGTACAAGAGGCAGCTGCATTGTGGACATCAATGATAGTTTCACTCTCCACCTACTGCACAAACCATCACATATCTTCAATCCAGAAGTCCTCCATGGTTTTAGTCATCTCCATATGTTCATATAATTATGACTTTTTATTTTCCCCCTCAGATAAACTAGAACTTTTCAGGATATTCCACTTCACAGCCAGCTTTTTTCATTAGATGGAAGGGGCCTGGACAATTCAAATGCTCATGGGGCAGAAATCAGAAATACTTCTCCTCTCACACTGGCTGCTCTGTGGCTTGACAGAGCTTTTGCACAGTACAATGCAGCTGTTTAAACATTACAGTGTCAGCGTGTTTGGAAGAGGGTGCTGTTGTATTAGACAACCCTTTTATTTTTCAGTCATTGAAATTTCTCAGCATTTCTTAACTAGCCAACAGGACATAGGATTCACAGAGGCAACCAACTGCTTTGAAGGCTGGAAAGCAGAAGAGGTGCTAGGACTGGGAATTAATTGAGAGTGAAAAATGGAGCACGGATCAGACCCAGAAGGCAGAAATACCTGCCAGGATGAATGCCTTTGTCGTACCAGACCTTGATTTTGAAGGAAGTTCATGTGTTACTGCCTGGTCCCACGGCTGGGAGACCAGGAAGGTGCTGGAGAAGGAGGCTCACTCCTCTTTCTACTTTTTACTGCTAACATCTGCCTCTGGCTACAGCTGGGGCATACAGACCCTTCGGCCTTGGCACTCCAGCCTGTTCCTGTGATTATTCTGTATTTCACGGCTTTTGGGCTTTGTTTTATTTCTTTTTCCAAGAAGCACAACCGGTCACGCCTGTGTACAATCCCTCTTTTTACCCGGTGACACCGAATCGTTCGGTTCAACCCTCTGCTCACTCCAAACCCGCTATGACATCCATTCTCCTGACCGCCCGGTGAAACCCTACGTTATAAGCGGGAAGGCAGAGACCCGGGGAAGCGCCGCGCCACGTTTCCACACCGTCCGCCCAGCACCCCGCTGCCTTCCTCTTCACACCCCCCCCCTCAACCCCGGGGATACCCCTACCCCGGCAAACCGAGCCCAACCGCGTCCCCGTGCCCCGCCGTACTCACCACTCGGGGTGCTCGGCCGCTCGCGGGTTGAACCTGATGTCGCTGTTGACATTGAAGAGGAGGTCGCCGTCGGCGAGCGGGGGCAGGGCGGCGCGGTACAGCGGGTGCTGGAAGAGGGCGGCCAGCGGGGCGGCGGCGGCGGCGGCAGGGGGCGGCGGGCGCGGCGCCCCGGGGCCGATCAGTCTCCGCGTCCGCGCCGCCGCCGTGCCCCCCCCGCCTCCTGCGCCGCCACCGCCGCCGCCGCCGCCGCCGCCCGCCGCCCGCTCCGCCGCTTCCCGCGACTGCGAGGAGAGGTTGGAGCCCGGCTCGGCGCTGAAGTCCTGCAGGATCCGCAGCGTGTGCTTGCTGGGCCAGCGCGGCGCGGCGCGGGGCGGCGCGGCGGCGGGCGGCGGGCAGGAGCAGCCGGGGCGGCCCTCGGTTCCCCGCCGCTCCAGCCGCGGCAGCAGGTCGATCATGATGTGCATGGTGCAGGCAACGAGGAACACCATGAGGATCAGCACCCGGAACTTGCGGACCAGGAGCATTTTCATGGCCGGGGCGGCTAATAAATTACCGGGGAAGGGAGGGGAGGCGGCCGGGTCGGTCGGGAGCGCTTTGGCGGAGAAAGCCCGGGCAGGCGTGGGTCTTCCAGCTCCCCCCCCGGGGCTTCGGCTGTCTCCCTTCGGATCGGGAAGCGAGCGATCAAGTCAATAAAGTTACCTCCATAGGCGCCGAGAAATAAACAGGCTAAAAACAATAGGTCCTCATGTCTCAGTATCATCAAGAACTTAGGAGAGGGAAGAAAGAAAAAAAAAATAAAAGGAAAAATAAAAAATAAAGGAGCACCGGACCGGGCTTTTAAAATCAAGAGGAAAACAATGCCAGAGGCATTGCAATGTATAAAGCCATCTGCTCACGATTTCTCTCTCTTTTTATTACAGGGATCACAACAAACAGGGAAAACTGATTCTTGAAGAGAAACCGGCATCAGACACTAGCTCTAATTAAATAAAATGTAAAAAACTAAGAAAAAAAGACGGGATGGAGGAGGGGAGGAGAATAATATTAAGAAAACCTGTACGGAAAGGCGACAGAAGATAAAAAATCATCCATAATATTTGGCTGTGCTGGAAACGCTGACTCCCTTCCTTTGAATGTGCCCAGTGATGCAGCAGAAGCGCTCTCCCGCTCGCTCCCTCTCTTCTCTGAGACTGTTTAAGAACATTGGCTGGAAAATCATTTTCTTTGAGCGGCTCCAGTTTCTTCATCCATCGCGTCCAGTGCTTGGGAGAGATTAGTATGTTCAACTGAGATCAAGTCTGGGTGGCTGCTGTATCCAAGCTGGGCTTTTGCTTTGGCTTGGGTTGGGTTTTTTTGGCAGCAAAACTGTCTGGTGGCACAACTACAACATAAAGGTTAAATATGGCACAGAAAAAAAAAGGTGGGGGGGAAGAGAGGAAGGACTAGAGGAAAGAAACTAATATAAATCAGCAGAGGTTCTTTTAAGCAAAGAGTTCCCGTCTTTGATCTCTGCTGGGTCTTACAGATCTGCCTTTTAGAGAGAGAGGGAGAAAGGAAGAGAGAAGGGGGGAGAGAAGGGAAGAGGGGGGAGAGATCTTTGGCAGGTGCAGAGTGAAAACCTCTTTCAGCTACACTGAATTCTGGAGACTGGTTGGACTAGTAGCTCTGCAGCTCCAGCTTCCAGTGGGTGTGTTAAATATTATGAGCGAGCCATGATTCCTGCCTTCCTCACGTCATAGTTAGGAGATTGGCTAAATAAACGCTACAGTGATAGTAACAGGAAAACCTCAACCAAAAGCGTTTTTTTTTCTCTCCTCCCTCCTTCCCACCCCCCTTTTCATTCTACTGCAGCTCCAACTGGGGCAAGGAGAGGGCGTCTGTTCCACAAAGGTTTGCAAAAAAATAAAAAAGGAAGGAAAAAAAGAAAGTGGTAGCGGCGAGAGGAATCTGCACGGATGGCATTGCAAAGTGTCAGCGTGGTCTGTGCCCAGGCCGGGAGCTGCGAATCTGCTCTGTCATTGTCCAGCTCCCCCTTGCTCCCAGCCCCTCGCCAGAGCAAGGTCATCAAGGAAAGCCGTGTGCTTTGCTTCCTCTGGAGGAGCAGCCCTTATTTTTAATCTGAGATCCTATGGGCTGTCATAATCCGTGAGCACACTGCAGGGTAATCTGCCCTCTTTCCCACTGCTGTTAGCTGTGCAGTTGGCTCCGTGGCTGGGTGGCTTTGGTCCTGGCACCAGGGCAGCCTCTGGAGCCCAAGGGATGCTCTTGGTGGTTGTCTAAGTCTGGAGGAAGGGAGAAGCCACTCCAATTGTCTTCAGGTGACGAGGCAGGGATGCTCTGTGCTGCTGATTCTGACTTTGGGCAGGGGGTCCCAAGGATTTTATGGTCCTTAGCAGGGCTCAAACAGACGTCAGAATGGCTGCAGTAGGAATGAGAGTGGCAAAGTGCTTCTGCGTACCCGCCACCAGCTATCCACAGAGTCATCTCAACGCTGATCATGCTGGCCCATTTTTCCCTGGATTAAACAATATCAAAGTATTTATTTCCCCCCAAAAAGTATTTCTCCACTGACAGACTCCATCAAGCACTGTTCCCTCACTGGGTGCTTATGTAGCCTTGTGCTATGCACTCCCCTGAAACACATCCATGGACTGTTACAGTGTCAACATATTTTGCACAGTGGAAGTAATGCTTTTCCCACAGAAAAAGAAAATTCATGAACAAAAAGAGCTGACAGGGCCATGATCCCATGGACTGCTCTGTACCTTTAGGGAGGAACAAGATTTGCTCTCCTAACAGGGACCTTGTAATACTGTAGTTCAGAGGTACAGCTCAGTGTAGGTGCAGCACTTTGATTCTCTTAGAAGCCATTCTTTCACCCTGGATCCTTCAAGTACTGGTATATTAATCATAGCAAGCCATTCTGCTATGAAGTCAAAGGCATGGCTTCCCATCTTTCATCAGCTTTTCCATTTTTTTACCAAGATCAGTTCAGTCAAAGGGCACCTGGTCAATGGACCATGAGGACAGTAACACTTGTTCCTTGTGTGTCATTGCCTTCCACCACTTCTCAAAAGCAAGTCTGTATGGTTCTGCCTGGGACATCAAGGTTTGTTCATAAGTTAACTACCTCTCTATGTAGTGCACTAAAGTTCATCTTATTTTAATCTAGTTTAGCAAATTGGTATTTTAGGTGCATCAGGCAGAGTCTTTCAGTTTTGGTTCAACTGGGGAACGCACCGCTGCTGGAAGGGGATATGATATCTGATGAGGGCACAGCATGAATAGCATGTAGAAAAACATCTGGTTTTGTGTTTTGTTTTGCTGTTTGTTTTCTTATTGCCTGCCTGTGGCTGCAGCCTATCTCCTGCTAAGCTTCTGGTGCTTTTAGGGAACTCAGCTGAGCTGGATTACCAATCAAGGCCAAGGAAACAAAAGGAGGCAGGTGGAAGCAAGAGTCTGTGCCTTGGTGAGTGGAGTGATGGAGGGAGCAGTTAAAGCCAGTGCTTCAGGAGGGGTGAGTGGTCTTGGGAATTATTTCACAAAGTGGTTATCTGGGGCTGCTGTAAGTATGAAGCTTTGTGTTCCTGTTGGTGGTCTGCAGGTATATTTTTCCTTAAATTGCCTGCTATCTTTCAGGCTTCAGTCTTTCCCAGCTGGCATTAGCAGGTGCTGTTACCTTAATCAGATTTTTCTTTTTTCTCTTCAGTGCAATAAAGCAAGCTTTAAAGTAAAATAACATCAGGTAATTCTTTTCTTCTTAATGCGTTTACCCATTGATGTGGTCATCTGCTAAATAAGATGTATTGGCTAGTTGGCTAGCACTATCAGAGGGCAAATTTGTGGCTTTGCTTTGGACTATGGGGCAGCATGCGATTCCCAAGCCTTTCTTCCTCCATTCTGGAGGCAGTCTGCTAATGATCAGCACTACTAGTGTAGTAGGTCAGCACTACAGCCCACTGTACCTCTAAGATCTGCTGATTAGTAAAGCAAGGGCATGAAGCCAAGAGACATCTAGGAGCACATACTGGAATGGGGAAAACACCTCTAGCACATCCTAACATGAGGAGGATACCAGCCTCTGGACTTTCCCATTGATCTTTCCCATGAGTAAGTTCAAGAATGAAGCCCTGATCTTGATTTGGAACCATGTGTCTTGGGTGTGAGTGAAGAGGATCCCCCTGCCTCTCTAATAATCTGTTTGGGCACACAGAGTAAGTGACCATCTCATGTTTGCATTCCTGTTGGTAGCTCTGTGGGGCTGTCAGGGAGCTTGGTCTTAGGGTCAGGCTGGATATAAGAACCTGAATATCTACTGGGTTGGGAGGGTTGAGATGACTTGTGGTCAGGAAGCTACTGAGACAAGTCAGGAGCTGGGTTGAAGGTCAGGAGAGCCTGGAAATTGGACAGCAGGTACAAGATAAGGAGCAGGAAGGCTCAGGCACCAAGTCCAAGGGCTACCAAGGCTGGTAAAGCTTCCCAGGACAGCCTTGTTGCTGACAGTGGGCATATGTGAGTTTGGTGCAGGAGAGCTTTTTTGCTTGTGCTGTCATCTGGGTTGTGTGTGAGCTGCTCCTAATAAAGAATGGTGCCATTTTTCCACAGCAAGGGAAGAAATGGGGATTTGTGTCCAGATGGTTGAATTTCAGCTCTACCTCACTGCTTACGTAGCTTGATGCTCTGGCCCATCCCCTTTCAGTGCAAGTGCAGTGTTCACAGGCAAGTTACCTCCTCCTGGTTCAGACATTTGCTTTCAAGACTTGGAGTTGATGGGAAAACAAAAATTATTGGTAACTCCTGACTGTTGTTCAACCTTTTCTTCAAAAAAGCTTTTAACCACAGAGTTTGTGTATGTAGAGCCATGGGGTCTATGTAATAAAGCCTGATTTGGGTAGTTTCAGAAGTTAGTTGTTTATTATTTCACTTTCTGAGGTCTTGGGCTCAGGAAGAAAAATGTAAATATTTCTTCTTATCTAAACTGTGCTTTCATATTGAATTCCAGTACATGGCCAACAGTGTTTCATTTCTGTTGTGCTGTGTGTTGGACCAGCCTTACCCCTATAATTGCTAGCATTATGTAAACAAGGACATAATAAGTTCTTAATGGAATATTTTGACATTAATAAGTTATTACATACATCTCATTTCAATAGCTTCAATGAAATCAAGTCCTTTACATCAACTCTTCATTTTCTTTTTTTGGCCATTGAATTGAAATGTCTTTCCTCTATTTTCTTGGAAGTATTTGAATGTTAGTGGAAATTTCACACTGCATTACTACAATCACAAGCCAAGATTGCTTTGGATCTAACAGACTTTTTAATTTGATATTACAAATTAACACTAAGCACTTTTTTTGCATGTTGTACCTTTGCTTTTATTTGATGATACAATCAAGAATTCAGGAGTGGTTACTGTAGTATATCCTGCCATTTCTTCATTGGTTTTGTGCAAGAATTAATAGCTTATCTGCTGATGAAATCTGTGTAGATGTTTATTTTCCCCATTTTTGTCTGTTTGCCTCGCTGAGCAGCAACAATGGTGAGTGTATGTGATAATGTATACAGGTAAATAAATGAAGCATGGTTTTGGGTGAGTAAACATACCAGCTATTTTTTGTTACAATGGTTTACAGCCTTCTGATGTAAAGCCTGAATGCAGCAGGGCTAACTGTAAGTCAGGCCTGATTGCACATTTTCAATCAAGGTAATATTTCTATTGTTAGTCCTAATGGAAAAATGGATTTTTCTTCCTGAAAACATCTATCCATGATTCTGGAAGTCCCACGGGCAACATGTGCTTTGCTTGGCCCCTGTGGTGATGCTGCCTAGGGTCCTCTTCCTGCTCTCACTCTCTTTCCTCCCTCTAAAGATTCATGTGCTGACCCAATTTATTGGTGCTTTGCCTTGTAAACACAAATCACACTGGTAATCTAGCGAGTACTGCATATTAAGCTCCCACACTGTGAAATCACCTTTATTGCTAAGGAATATGCTTGGTACTAAACAGAAGGAAATTCCGTAAGCTTGATTATTTCATAGTAAACTTCTTGTTGGTGCATGAAGGAGCAGTGAGACCTCTTTGAAGTGGTGTGCTAATATATTATGAGGAGGAAAAAAAAAAGGCAAACTAATGTTGCCTGGTTGCCTTCCAGCCCAGGATTTTGTTAGCTATATGATGTTTTTTAATAAGTCTTGACCAAATGACTTCCCTTAGATCAACCAGGCGTTATGGCCAGCATTCCTTCCTGTGATGGTTTGCTAAGGTTGACTGGAGGGGCATTAAGCTGCAGGCTTGAGCTAAATAGTGATGAAAGGAGGGACATGTGATTGGCTTCCCATGTTACCAGCAGAGCTGGCTGGTGCTGTCAGATCATCAGAGCTGGGTAGCTCATCCTGGAAATGCATCACCACTCCCAACTGGTTTCAGAAAGCCAAAGCTTCCAGATTCAGCCTTTTGCTTTGAGTGTCCCCATTCTTTAATTTGGGATCCGGTATTCTAAGTCATCCAAACCCCCACTGATTGCTTGATAAATCTATTGAAAGCAGAGAACTCATTACTACATTAAAGCAATGAAACAGAAGGCTTTTCCCTGCCTGTTTTGCAGGGCCTCAGCTGTTGTTGCTGTAGATCAAGGGTTAGCTCCTCAGCTGGTGTCAGCTGGCCTTGATTTCAATGAAATGCCATCTAATTATATCAGCTGAGGATCTGGTCCACAATGTTTAATTATTCTATTGGCTGGAACAAAAAGCTGCCTGGCAATGCAAGAACAAAACCCGTTATTGTTGTTGCTGAAGCAATGTGATTGGCCTTTGGAGGGATCACATTTGCTCTAGTCATTGAGTAGTAATCTAGCATATAGCTACATTATGGAGAGGCTGATAAATCTCATTCTGAAGTGCTAGGATGTTGTAAAGAAAACCAGCTGTTAAATTGTGTTCTTACCTACATTATTATTTAAATTAAGTCAGAACAAATTATCTTGGTGTGCATGACATAAGAGCATGCACTACTTGACTTACCATAACTTCATCTTTCTAGAACAACTGTTTACTGTATTCAAATAACTGTATTCCTTGTGGACTTTCTGAGTTCAAGTAATAGTGCATGAATCTTCTCAAAGTGTGTAAAACATGGCTTGCTAAATTACACAATTATTTTGAAAATTCATTGAAATTGATGGAGCTGCATGATTTATGCCTGGAGAAAATGTGTCCTGATGTTAAAACAAGATGTAGTTACACATGAACAGAGGCAGCTTCTGCATGCTGCAGTGTGCTGTCACACACAGACCCATTTGAGTGCATGTGGATATATAAATGCATGCACACATGAACAGTTTAATAGGATATTTAGGAAGCTGTTCTGGGGACTATTTTTTTTTGTTGCTGTCTAATTTTGATTTGTATGGATGTTTTGACTTCTTAAATTGAGCTTTTTTCCCCCTCTTTGTTGGCTAAATTTTCAATCAGATAACTTTAAACCTTGAAGTAAGAGAGCAAGCCACAAAGAAATTTTAAGCATGCCACAGCCTGAAATAGAAATTAAAATACTAATAAAATACCCTCATGGGAGAGCCTTACAACTGGGCAGTGTAACCTAACAGGCTGTGAATTCCTCTGTGCCCAGGAGACACCAGGACTATTATTCGGCTTGGATGCTCCTTGGCTGTATGTGATGCTGAAAAGTTGCTTCAGTTCTGTTTCCTCATGTGATAGGAAGGATACCATGAAGCATTTTGAGATCAATTAATAAAAGCCACTATAAGAGAAAGTTATGATATTTGAAGTCTCACTTATTTGGAAAATAATTCATACTACTGACTTTAACCCAGAAGAAACTGAAACTCTTAAGAATATTCTGTATAGGAAGGCCTGAAACACTGGGACTTCTGGTGAGTCCTTGAGTCCTGAAACCCCTTAAATGTACTAGTGTCCTTATGTGCATATAACCAATCATGTATCCCAAAGAACAGTGTGACATGACTGGAATTGCAAAGCACAGTGAGTCTCTCCAGTGATACAGGAGCTTGTGAGAAACCCCTTGCACCTCCTCTTTCCCCCAGTCCCTTCTATTTTCCTGCTATCCCATGTTTTGTTTGCATCCTGTCCTTACAGTGTTTTCCTGAACACTGTTCAAACACAATCACAAATCTGCTTTTGGTGATTTTATATTAAAGACACTGAAAACTTTGACCATAGAAGATTCCTGTGTAATAGTTTTCATTTAAAAAATAAAAAAAATAAGGAATGGTCCATCTTTTCCCACCAGTGGGTGATATTTGTCTGATCAAACCTTGCCACACAACCCACTGTAAGCTTAGAGAAACATGCAAAAGGCAGGTGCTTGCAAGGGGTACTTGAGTTTACAGCAGCCCTTTTTCTTTCCCACCTTATGAATTGTTACTTAGTAGGTTTTGTAGTGGAAGCATAATTTTGTAAATATTAAAATTAAAAAATGTACTTTCTATATTCCTAGTCCCTAACAATTATTAGCTAGGTGCTATATTCCTTTCTA